AAAAAAAAAAAAAAAAAAAAAAAAAAAAAAAAGAAGTTTTCTCGCAGACCAGAAGGAGGGAGCCTCTAGCGTTCGTTCATACAGGAGTGCAGGGGGAAAGGAAAACAACCAGCCGATGCAGAACTGGAGGACTCCCGAAAGCTGGGAACCGTGCAAAGGGCAGAAAACTAATAACAAATAACTTTAAACGTTTTTCTCCTGTTTTTCCTTCCTGCCCTCCACCTCTGTCCCTTCTGTGTGCTGAGGGGAGGGGACAGATGTGTGTGGTACCCACAGATCCAGGCAGACCCCAGCGGGGCGACCCTGGGCTCAGGGCTCAAGGTTTGGCTGTGCCACCCCGCCAGGTGCCATCGCTGAACCGTGGCAGCTTTGCCTTCCTGCAGCAGCAGCAACACCCTCATCAAATGAGTGGAACGAGAGAATTGGGTGAGGGATTGTTGTGCTGGTTAATCGCCCATTTGGTCTAATTAAAAGTCCCCAAGGAAGTAAAGGGAAGGTTTCCCAGGCGGCAGGAGGGCAGTGCTCTGCTCCGAGCAGGGGTGCAGGTGGTGGGGACAGTGGTGCTACCCGAGGAACTGCTCAGGACAGTGTTTAACCACTTCCCTTCTCATTTTTGGGTGTTCTATTTGACCTCAGCCTCTCACCCGTGTGCTGGCACATATTTTGCTGCATCCCTGGTGTTTCCCATGCAGGAGGGCAGTGAGACCCTTACAGCAAGGCTCCCCTTCCCTGCTGCCCCTCCCGGAGCTGCAGACTCCGACCTGAGCGCCGGAGAGTGMGCCTTGGCAGGGGCAGGTTCTCCAGGAATCTGTTTGAACACATACCTGGGCATACCGGGGCCAGCCTGGCAGGGAGGAAGAAAGCGGAGTGGCTGTTTTCATATTTTACTTTTATATGTGCGGTGTGAAAAGAAAGGGGAAAACAGACCTTGGACCTTCCCCTAATTCTTTCATTTTGCTTCAGTGATGTGAAATCTGGTGCCGCCTTCCACCTGACTTTTGTGGGGATTTTTGCCCATTACCAGCCCATGTGTTGAACACAAAAGCATCACTTTTGGCCCAAAACTATGCCAATCACCCACCCRGGGAACCAAGCTGSYTSTGGAGGACACGGYTCAAGGTCTCTCTCTCTTTCCCCTRAGCGTGGCAGAGGTGTGGGTGCCTAATTTAGGCTCCTCAGATGCCTGGAGAGAGTGGAAAGAATCTTCACGTGGGAATTCTCTCCCAGCCGATTCTGGCCAGCTGTGGGCACACTGCCCAGCCCAGCTCACGTCCACTGTGGGGCCAAGCATCCACTTTCCCCTCACCCTTCAGAGCCTGGCCCTGCCTAGAGGAGCCCACAGATTCCACCAGCTGGCTCCGGCCTCGCCACATCCCTAAAGCTGTTGATTCCCTCAGTTAAATTCCATTTTGCATTCAAAGCAAGGAGAAAAAAAATAAACAAAAATTGAGACTTATCATTGTAACAGCAAATAAAAACAAAAAGAATCTTTCCTGTACTTTAAGGGAAAATGAAATTATAGTTTTGTATTTGCATTTACAAGACCCCTCAGGCTAYTTACGTTTGCATTTTCATAACAAAAAGATTGTGCTGTTAATTGATGCAAGCCAGAGCACACAGATCTGAATCTTTGACAATTTCTTAAGGGAACAGCGGCCACAATTGCCCAGTTCACACTTGACAATGGCTAAGTCAGCAGTGCCAAAAAGCMGCTTCTGTGCCTTTGTCAATAAAATGCAGGAGATTCATTGGTAATAATTAATTGTTTATTCAATGGAATTCATAAATGGAATTATTGAACACACCATGCAACATTTATCCTCCTAGGCCTCAGCTTTTACTTTCAGTCAGACTTGAAATTCTCCCTGTGGACCAAGGTTTTCCTTATATAAATTATTTGAACCAACTGAGTTTATGTTACTAGTGAATTTTRCCCCACATTTTTTGAGAAGGACTGATTTTCACCACCTTCCCACCCCARCTGGACCAAACCTCTAGAGAACGAGGAATACTCTGGTATAATTTCTGAGAAGATCAAAATCTGCTGTTAACACTTGTTTTTCCCCAGTTTTAAACATTATCATTAAACATGAAAAGTGGAACTAAGTTTTGGTCATGCAATCTTGTCATTTTAAAAGAAGCAGCTCTTTAAGGCACTTCTGGAATRGGCAAAGGGGCAGGAAGTTTTTGCTGCCCTTGTACCTTTGTATGAGTGGGACAGGACGATGTGGAAACCTGTTCATGAAGTATCAATGACTGAAAAATGSAGACAAGGTCTTACTCATACTCCTACTCACTCATAATGACCAGACAACATGATCCAGGCCAAAGGGTATCTACCAAAAAACCCCCAAAAAAACCAAAACTAAACTAATATCAACAGTAAAAATGTTCCTGTATTTAATTTTTCCTTTCTTGTCCATGGAAGACTGTGTTTGAGTGGGACAATAAAGTCTGGTTTGGGGCAAGGGGAGGCTGGTGTTTCCACCAGGTGTGCAGGGTGGGTTTGGGGACAGAGAAGGGAATGGAGAAGGCTCCAGTTTCTGCTCTGAGGCTCATGGGAGTAGTTTATCCCACACTATTTAATGTAAAATAACTATTTTTTGGAGCAGGGAGTGACTCTGTAGCCTGCCCTAAAGCTGCTGCTTACCCTATGCCACACCCCTGGGCCAGGAAAGCTTTAATTAATCCCCACAATGTGCTCCATTAGTCCAGCATCAGTTCTGGATCACAGACACAGCTGAGGAGCAGCACTGCCCTTGGCCAGCACCATCCCCGTGCTCCTGGGGCTGCTCCTTGGCCAGGCAGGATGTGGCCCTCATGCTCTGGGATGCTCCTCTTGTGAGTGTAGAGGATCACGGAATCCTGGAATGGTTTGGGTTGGAAGGGACCTTAAAGATCCTCTCRTTCCAAACCCCCWGCCCTGGRCAGGGACACCTYCCACTAGACCAAGCCACATCCAMCCTCACCTTGAACATATCCMGGGATGGGGCAGCTTCTCYAGGCARCCTGTGCCAGGGCCTCTTCACCCTCRCAGGGAAGAGTTGMTTCCTAATACCTAAAATAAACCTGYCCTCTGTCAGTTCAAAGCCATTMYCCCTTKTTCTKTCASCCCATWCCCTTGTCYAARGTCCCTCTCCAGCTCTCTTGGAGCCCCTYCAGGCCCTGRAAGCWGTTCTAARGTCTCCCYGGAGCCTTTTCTTCTCCAGGTTGCAACTCTTCTGCTCTTCCTGAAGCGCTGCAAGCACAGATGATGTTGCAGAGCAGTTTGATGCCCAAAATGTGCCTGTTGGGATGCTCAGTATGATGYACTACCCAGTGCCAGGCCACCCCTTCCTTCTCAGACCTGCAGACAGCGTTTCCTTGGGAACCCGCTTTGCCYTTCTGTCACAGGGAGGATTTTGGCAGCAGCTCTTCTGCAGAGGGGACACACAGTGTGGGAGGACCAGGCCCTGCCTATTGTATTCCTYAGAGCTGTTAATGACCATGGCTACAGCAATCCTAAAATAAGAAAGTGAGCTGATTGTTATCCGTTATCTGAGATTGTTCCCCACCAAAGGGGGAAATCAGAGCACGGTTACGTGCGGCACATCAGGTGGCCTGAACTGGAGTCACGAGGCCGAAATACCAGTAAACTTCTGAAAAGTCCAAAGCCAAACCACCACTACCCTTCTCAAGGGTATTTTTAGCATCACCAGCTGCTGCTGCTGGAGAAAACACCCTCAGAGGGGCTGCGAATGGGGGCACTGCCAAGCCCACCCCATGGCAGCAGGAGGTGGAGGGCAGSACACCTGCTGTGTCCCCTGCCCGTGTCCCCACCCYGGACACCATCCCCGGCGCCAGGTTGTCCAACCTGCACTGTCAACACTGCCCTGTTAAATTTTTACAAAGTTAGACCTGTCATTGCAGAGAAAGGCAAATAAAAGTGAAATCCAAAGGGGASCCAGTTCTGCCCCCACCAATGCCACTGAGAAGGATCAAACCTCATAAACCTTCAGGTCATTAAAAAGAATTAGCTGATAAATGTCATCCCGATGCAGGGTTTGGTGCTGYTCAGGAAGTTGGGGATCCAGAGTGATGCAGGCCAGGAGGGTCAGCCCTCCAGCACGTGCCTCAGTGACCCGTGGGATGGGACATTCTGTGGTCACGGGCCCTTTCCTGGCACCCCGAATCACTCAGGGTCAGCAATATTCAATTTGCCAACAACTTAAAGTCCAGCGTGTTTTGAAACCACCATCTGTATTTCTGCCAAGTTTCACAACCCTGATGTTTCTGCCCTAATTTAATTTAG